AGAAAGCCACTTATGGTGGTAGCTAAGGCCTGGAGGAGAAAGAATGACAGCTTCCAGTATCTGGGGCAAGTGCTTCGGAGTGCATGAGACAGGGGAGTGTGGCTAGATGAGAACACAAGCCTAGTGTGCTCTCTGGCATGGACTGCTTGGGTTTGAGGTCGGGTGTGTTCCTAGGGGCATGGACAGGCCCTGAAGCAGCTTCCTTCTATTGGTGTAGGAAGCTTCTGCTGGAAGTTGCTGCTGTGTGGTGTTATTTGGCCCCACCCTGCCTTCCTGACTTAATCTCCTTTGCCTGGCCATGAAACCTCAACTCCTGTCCAGCAGGTCCACCAGCAATCAGGCTTTACAGTCATGCCCCTGTGCTGGACTCAGTGAGTGACAACCTTACTCTACTCCCTAGGGTTTCTGTGCCCTGCCCTTCTCTCCTGACTTAGGCTGATTCCTGCCTCCTCCTGGAAGCCTGTGGGCTGTTCCAGCTCACTGGGTGTTAATTCTCAAGTCATATTAGTTGAGAGTCTGAAATGCTGTGCACTCAGAAAGAGCAGAGGTCCAAATTCCTACTCTGTTGTTTGGACACGAGTTACTTAGACTCTCGGAGGCTGCATTTCGTAAGTAGGGCATTCGAACATAATGATACCAGCGTCCTTACATCATCGAAGAGCAACTGAATCACCGGTTCTAAGCATTTCAAGCACTCCAGGTACAGTGCATGCTCACTAAATAGTAGCTTATGGGGCTGGAGAGATGGCTCAGCAGTTATAAGGGCTCGTTGCTCTTGCAGAGGATCTGAGTTCTGTTTCTAGCACACATCACAGCTGCCTTGACTCCAGCTCCTGGGGATACAAAGCCCTCTTTTGGCCTCCTTGGGCACCTACCTGAACTTGGTACACACACACACACACACACACACACACACACACACACACACACCATTTTTAATAACTTACCTGAGCTTGACAATCTTCTATTTGTTTCTTGTGTGTTAGCTTTATCTTTGCAGGGAGAATAACAGCACCTTATACAGTATGAATGTAGTATGTGCATACATTCAGTTGGATATTGGATGTGTGTGTGTGTGTGTGTGTTTGTTTCTTTCATGTATGCACTGTACAGGCCAGAGGTATTTTTTGAGACAGTCCCTTAATGAACTTGGAGCTCACCTATTGTCTAGAATGGCTGTCCAGTGAACTCCTGGTATTTGCCTGTCTGCCTGCCCCCAGCACTGGGGTCACCGATACCTGGCTTGTACATGGGTGTTGGGGATCCAAACTCAGGTTCTCATGCTTGAGTGGCAAATGCTTTACTCACTGAGCCACCTCCCAAGCCCATTTATTAAGGTCTTACAGGATCAGACTGGCTACAGTATTTCCCTATATGTCATCTGTACGGTAGGCACTTGGTGTAGATTTCATGATGGGTTGCATTTGCCATTTCTTGGCTATGGCATATGATCAGATTTGGAGGTCAGAGGCGAAACCAAACCTGGGAAATTCTGAGTCCTGATTGTTTGCAGGCAGTAAGTCCAGGACCTGCAAGGAGATGATGGGTCAGGCCTGGACAGCTGAAGCTAGGTTCTGTCAACAGCAGTATTCGAAGGACGAATAAGTCCTTGCTTAGAAAGTAGGGGACCAGAGTGACTTGTGCTAAAATGGAGGGCACTGATGTTCAAACCAGTCCTATCTCTGCAGAGGACGCATCTTGGATGGATCCATTGATTCCATAATAAGCACCGAGTGTCTACTCTGTGAGATAGCCTTTCTTCCCTGCAACACTGTGGGCTGTTGATTCACAGTGGGGTAAAGCGGTAGGGGGTTTGTTTTCAGAAGAGTTGTGTGAAGATCACTGCTAAACCAGGCCCCCTTTCCTCCACACTTTAGACTGTGTTCTGGGATTTGATGTAGGTTTAAACTGTGGTGGATGCCAGAGGTAGTCTGTTGAGATACCATTATGGCTTTCTGAACTCCACAACTTCCAAGTACTGGGTACCCTGTGAAGGGACCCAGGAGATGAAGACCGGACTGTAGGAAGTTAGAGAAGTTGAATGGAGCTGTTGCTGCTATGAAGGGTTTCGGGAGGAGTGAAGTAGTAATGGCTCAAACATCTCAGGCTTTAGCGCAAACATTCGCTCACTGGCACACCCAGGTATGGGGTCGTCCTTTGGAGATGGCTGAGCCAAAGTCTAGAGGTGAAACAGGGAAATAGAGGGTGCCAGCCAGCACACAGCAGCTGTGGCAGCTAATCGCATTGCATATGTGCTGACTACCATTTATGGGGTACTGAAAGTGGCTAGCATGAGACTAGCCTGCTCTTATCTTTTCCAGTCCACAACCACCTTACCTACAGCACGCACACTTTTATTACCTCTACTTTGCAGTGGGGGTTGAGGGACTGAGGAGCAGGGATGCTGGGTAACTTCCCCAAAGGTCATGTGGCTAGTAGGTGACAGAGCTGAACGTGCCATCCAGGCCTCCAGCTCCGGATCCCATATACCTTGCCCATATACACGTGTACTCGTTTTACAGCCAAGGAATGAAGTCCAGACAGGTGACATGACTTGCCTAAGGTCGCCCAACAACACAAAGTGGAGCTGGCATCTGGAATAGCCTGTTGGTTTTCCAAAGTCTTCCTGTACACACCTTGTTTAGAAAAGAGAGACTTGAAGCTGAGGAGCCAATCAGAGAGGGTTTTTGTTTTTTGTTTTTTTCTTCCTCCAATTCTTAGTTATTTAACTATCCTGGCCTTACCTCAAGTTCAGGGCTCCTAGGAAACACTACCCCCTCCTGCTGCCTGTCCCAAGTCTGTCCTCTGGGCATATTAGAGGACTTAGGGCTGTTGCTATGGTACTGAGGCCGACTGCAGGTTCATCAAATGCTAAATCTTTTGCCCCCCCCCAAAAAAATTAAAAATTAAAAAAGGGGGGAGGAGCAGCCCCTAAAGAAGCAAATTGGCCACAAAGATTAAGATTTGCATCAGTCATTGTGGCTTTTTTTGTTTTGTTTTAGACCCCACTCCCTATTCCTACCACCACCACTTTCTATAAATACAGTTGGATAAATATTGATTTAAACTGGGTTTCTGGACGAGAAACACATGCTTGTCTTGGCTTGGTCTTCACTTAGATTCCTCCCAGCGCTGCGGGCCTGACCCACCTAGCCCCACATAGCCCTGGCTTCCAAGTGACCCGTTTTTTTGGGGGGGGTGAGTTGTGGTTTTGTGGCCTTTCAGTTTCTTTTTCTTTAAGGGAGACTGAGTAAGAAATGAGACATTCTGTGGAGCGAGAACGAAGCAAGTAGGTTTCAGGGGGCTGGAATCCCACTCTTTCTTCTCCTCCATTTTCCAGAGGTTTTGTGTTTAAAGGAGGCAGGTGGTAAAAGAGCCTCTTGGTCACCCCAGCAGCCACAGAACACTCAAAACAAGGAGGCAGAGGCCCAGAGAGGGACAGCGATTGCCCACAGTGACGCAGCAGAGGCAGAGCGAAACTTTCTGTGCCATGATCTTGTCTGTGTGATAGGAGAATGGGTCATAGATAGAGCCCCAAACAACTTTTGTTTTACAGGTCAGGCGCTTGTAAAACCAGCACTTCTCAGGCCTGGCTTGCTGAGCCCAGGGCGTGTCTGGTTATTGCAAAGGTCATTGCAACATTCTCAGTAGTCTTTCAAAATGAAGCTAATTTGACTTTGCTGTACTAAGAAAAATATTTTCCCTCGGAGATGGAGGGTGGGGAAGGAGACAAGAGGGTGGTGACAGTGATGGCCATCTTCCCGAGGGGAATGGGGGGGGTGGGGGGAGAGAAAGAAGTGAGGAAGAGAGAAGAGAGACATGGCTCAGACCACCGGGGGCACCTGCCACTGCCATCCTGAGTGACAGGCTGCCTTTGCTTCCTCATCATGGCAGGATGCTGAGATGGGCCCCTCATTTGTGAAATATTTTGAAAGTTCAGGTGACTCTTTCTTTAAGTAACCAGTCTCCAGGAAACACATACAAACAGAATCTCTTCCCAAATACTTCAGGCCAGAAGAAATTGCCTCTTAAAGGGTTTCATTTTATTTGTACTCACTCTGTAGGCCAGGCTGGCCTCGATCTCACAGATCTACCTGCCTCTCCCTCCAGAGTGCTGGGATTAAAGGATGGTGCCACCACTGCTTCAAGGCTTTTGGAATAAGACACTGAGTTACACGGTGGACCAGGCATCTCCCTAAATCAGTTATGTGCATTAGTTCATTTGCTTGTTAAACTGTTACTTGGTGCTAGGTTATCAGTGCAGTTGTTACCTTCACGTAGTATGTGCTCTACTTCTGATAAGCATGTACCACCATGTCTGGTGTAATATGGGTGCTGGGGTTCAAACACAGGCTTCGTGCATGGTAGACAAGCACTCCACCAACTGAGCCACATATCTGTTCAGAAATCCAGCTGTCTCAGAGTGAATCCCAGCAGTGGGTACAGTATCTGATTTGATAGTTGTGCATTTGGTCCTATTCCCCTTTATGGACAGAATAAAAACTCATCCTGAGTTTCTAAAGGTGTCTCAGCCAGGTGTGGTGGCATACAACTTTTATCCCAGCATTTGGGAGGCAGAAGCAATCGGATCTCTGAGTTTGAGGGTAGCCTGGTTTACAGAGAGAGTTCCAGGACAGCCAGGGCTGTTACACAGAGAAACCCTGTCAAGAGGTGGGGGGGGTTCCTTCCTACCTGCTGCCCACCCCTCCACACAGCTGCACCCTAGCCCCCAATTTAACATTTAAAAAGCTTTATGTATTTGTGTTTATACTTCTAACTTCAACAGATCTAATGGGCACCTCTGCACTTGGAGGATGGCTTTCACCAGGTCACAACACCCAGCCCACTGCCCAGATAACATGCCCTTGGCCACACAGCTCCCAGTGTCTCCCAAGGAACTAAAGCACAGCAAAATTAAGAAGATAAACACAGTGTCCTGAGGGAGGGCACGATTAGGAGAGTCTAATTGAAACCACAGCGGAGAGATCTGGACTATCGAGTATTTGAAATGTTTTACTTTGTATATTTATTGTCGTTACAGGGTCACAGGAATGAAGATGGCTTGGGAGTTCTAATAGACAGGCTATTGTATTGAAGTAGAGGGCAGGCCCAGGCTATGTAACTTCCAGCCATGGGTGGCAAACAGGAGCCAGTGTTGTCCTTGGTTTTATCTCTACAGGGGCCAGAGCTACAGAATGGCTCCCACAGCAGCCTGATCGTCCCTTCCATGTTTCCTAGTCCCTTAAGTTCTGAGTGCCTTGGGTACAACTTTCCTTCATCCTTTTGGACAGCCATGAAATTTAGCATCATGCAGAAAGAAATACATAAGGTGGCCAGGAGCCAAACTCTGTGTTTGATGCTCTGATCTCTAGGTCAGGTGCATATTCCAGTTCAAATATCAGCCAAATAGAAACCAATACCCAATTCTAGTCTGTCTCCTGGGAGTCTGATACCCAGTCCCCAAGAGAGCTGTTGACAAGTGTGGTCTCCTCCCTGTTCTCTGGAGGAATGGTGGTAATGCCTCCCTTTACTGGCGTTTACTGTGTGCCAGCACAATGCTAGGCACTCTGTAGTAAATCCCCGAAAACCTCCAGTGAGCGGGCACTGTAATTACCTTCATTTTTGTAGTTCCAGCTCTTCCAAGCCCACATGCTAACAGTAGTGGGTCTGGCACTTAAACCCACTGTTCTTCCTTAGGGGTTTGTGAGGAACCTCAGGGAGCTCGGAGTTAACAAGTGTCAAGAAATGGAGTCTGGAATGTTTGCAGTACAGGTTGAAGGCTCCGGGAAGAGATTTCCCTTGAGTGACTTCCTTTTCTCCCCATTCATCCTAGAATGGAGAGAAGCAGCCAGAAGCTTCCAGGTTTTTTCCCAGCATTGACACAGAAGCCATTCCCTGGAGACTCACAGTCTGGGGTAGTTTTGCTTGCTTGCTTATGCCACCTTGCTGGCACCCTCTGAGAAACTCACCCGACCAGTAGGGCACCTGTGGTGCTACAGGCTGCTGTCAGGGATGTGCATCCACACCCTGTCAGACTCCAAGACTTCCTGGGACGCCCCAGCTTGTAAGACAACTGGGCTGGCTGGTGCTAGGCGCCAAGGCTTGCTCTTCTCCACAGAGAAGGCGAAGGAGAAAGGCAGGGTGAATTTCTGAGATGAGCTTCAAGTCCCAGTTGCCTCCGGACAGTGGGACAGTGAGGGCCACCTGGTTCCTGTCGGACATGGTAGGCCCAACCTCCTACTGTCCCGAGTAGAGCTCCTGAAACAGGAGTGGTGTTAAATGTAACTGGGTTCATGTCACTCACTTGTTGAAAGTCCTTCCACAGTTTACTTCCTGCCTTACTTAGGATAAACTCCAAACTCCTTGTGGAAAGTTTCATCCTTGCTTTTCTGAGTATAGTGATCTCCAGGACAGGTGGTCTTGCCTCCTACACGGCTTAGCTTCCCAGGCTCCATCCCATCTGCTAAGTCAGAATCTGCCTTTTCCATGGTTCTTTGTCGTCTAATCCTTAACCCACTTACCGTGATTTACAGTTTTACCTGCTTATTCTCAGTCTGTATGGCTAGACTGTACACACCCTGAGGAGACTGAGCAAGCTTCCTTTTGCTCATCAGTGCTTAGCATGCAGTGGCTATCCAGGGCATATTTGATGAATGAATGATGAATTTTCTGAGCTGGCTTTGAACAAGAACATTATTGCATCAGCTGCTATAATCCCAGCACTGGGGAGGCTGAGACAGGAGAATTTTAGATTTAAGGATAGCCTGGGATACATAGCAACTTTTAGGGTAGCCTTGGCCATAGAGTGAGACCTTGTCTCAAGAAAAAGCCACAAAACAAACCAAAAGCAAAAACTGAGAACTATTGTTTAGACAGAAGTGCAGAATAGTCTAGAATACTGCAGGATTTAGCATCCTTGGTTCCCGCCACTAAATACCATGGAAATCCCATTCTGACACATCCCCAATGCTACCTAGAGGAATAAATTGAGACCTAATTCAACTTCCTTAGGTTGAGACCATAGACCTAGCCAATTTTGCCTGGCCAAGTGTGTGTGTGTGTGTGTGTGTGTGTGTGTGTGTGTTGGGGTTGGGGGGCTGGTCCAGGAGATCCAGCCACAGGAATCTCAGAGATGTGCTGAGGGTTAAATGAGCTGACTGGAGAAGCGCCGTGGTGTATGCACTTTGTGATGGTGTGATGAAAATGGCCCCCACCGGCTCTTAGACAGTGCAATTATTTGAAAAGATTAGGACATTTGGCTTTGTTGGAGGAAGTCTGTCACTGGGGGTGGGCTTTGAGGTTTCAAATGGTCAAGCCAAGCCCCGTGTCCCTGACTCTTCCTGCTGCCTTAGGATGTAGCTGTAGAACTCTGGCCTACCTCTTCAGCATCATATCTGCTCACACACAGTCATGCGTCTTGCCATGACGATAATGGACTAAACCTCTGAAACAATGCTAACTCCCATCAAATGCTTTCCTATATAAGAGTTGCCGTGGTCTCCACACATCAGTAAACAGTGACTAAGACACAGTTACATGGCAGCAAGTTGGTAAATGGATTCATTTTGTTCTAGGCTCTATCGAGACTCCTAACATTCTAGAATCAAGGTTGGAGCTTAAAGTGGGGTGAGGTGATGTCATCCATATCTTCAGATGAGCAAGAGCCTGTTTTTTTATTTTATTTTATTTATTTATTATGTGTACAACATTCTGCTTCCATGTATATCTGCACACCAGAAGAGGGCACCATATCTCATAAAGGATGGTTGTGAGCCACCATGTGGTTGCTGGGAATGGAACTCAGGACCTCTGGAAGAGCAGTCAGTGCTCTTAACCTCTAAGCCATCTCTCCAGCCTGAGCCTGTGGTTTTTTTTTTTGTTTTTTGTAAACGCTGCACCTGAGGTTGAGCCTAAAGTCCTGAAGCAGAAGGGGTAGCCGTGTGCCTTAGTGCCCAGGGCCTGCTGGGAATTGTTAGGTCTCTTCACCAGTCTGTGCCATCGGGAAGGGGTGGTGCTGCCACCAGAGGGCAGGGGGAAGGGCCACTCCAGGCTAGCCTCCTTAAAGAGAAAAGCAGGATGACTGGACCTGGGGCCATGGCAAGAACTCAAGGCCCAGTTTTAGCAGTGGGGTTGGCCTCTGGCAGATTTTCAGTGTTTAGTTTTAGTTAGTTTGTTTGTTTTTGTTTGAGACAGGGCCTCACTACATAGTCCTCCTGGCCTGGAACTGCTATGTAGACCAGGCTGGCTTCAGGTTCATAGAGATATGCCTGCTTCTGCCTTCCGGAATTAATTGTGGAATTGAAAGTGTGTCCCAAGATAGTCAGCTCTTTTTATTGTTTTACTTCATTTATTTATTGTTTTTAGAGGCTTTTTAAAATCAAGTGCTTCTAATTGGGGTAGGTATAGTCAGTAGGTAAGGCCTGCTGCAGAAGCTTAGAACCAGGGTTCCTTGGGATCCCCAACACTCATGAAGAGTCTACATGGTTGTAACTCCAGCACGGGGCAACTCCAGGAAGAGACAGGAGGACTGCTGGTTTTGTTGGCCATTCAGCTTGGCTGAAAAACAGCAAGCTCCAGGTTCTCATCTCAAGAAGAGACAGCAGAGAGTGACAGGGCAGGGCATGCAAAGTCCTCATCTGACCTCTAAATGGTCGTGCATCCACATGCATGTGAGTGGGCACACACACACACACACACACACACCCCACCACGCACGCACGCACCACACCACACACACACACACACACACACACACACACACACACCACATACATAAATTAGTAGGAAGTTAAATTTAAAAAACAAATGGGGGAAAAATGGTCTTTGTACTAGCAAAACCTGAAAAATGAGTTAGCCTGGTATGGTGGCACATGCCTGCAGTCCCAGAATTTGGGGAGGTGGCGGCAGGAGCATCAAGGAGTTCAAGGTCACCCTTGGATACATAACGAGTTTGAGGCTAATCTGGACTATATTAGACCCTGTCTTAAAACAAAACAAAAAACCCCACTATTAATTAATTAATTTATTTATTTATTTTCCTGGTGTTGGGGATTGACACAGGATCTTGACAAGGCTAGGTTAGCTTTCATCACTGAGCCACACCCCAGCCTTTTCTAGTTTATTCCTGTTCTTGTATATAAATGAAACATTCTAAATAAAACATAAATTACAGGTTTGAGCAAGGCTCTGAAAAGAAATAACATCCCATGGGTTGACCAGGTCATTTGCACAGGCATCGGTGACATCATGAGATCCACCAGCCTAAATGACTACAAAAACAAATTACAGTAGGTTATGTGGCACTGGCAACAAAGATGAGCTTCTGAGGAAAGGACTCGGGAGGCATTGCAAAGGAAGCCAGCTGCATCACGCAGCAGGGACCTGGGGGTAGGAACTGCATTGTTAGAGTGGGACCCTGAGGTTGGGGCTGAAGCTTGACTGTCATCACCATCATCACTGGTGAGAAGCACCTGAGGGGAGGCCTTTCTTCAGGGAAAAATGAACCCTGAGCAGAAAGACAATGCAGATTTGGGATGCTTCCGGATCCTTTAAGAATGTAACTTAATCGTGACATCTAAAGGTTGAGGCTTCACAGGGCTAAAAGATATGAAAACAGAGAGAGAGAGAGAGAGAGAGAGAGAGAGAGAGAGAGAGAGAGAATCCCTTTTCCTTTCCTTGAAACATGAGTCAATCAGAAAAGAAAATTCTAGAGATGAGAAGGGAGCACACAGCTTAAGGTCTAGGTCTCAACTCTTTCTCCATCAGTATGTCAGCTGTGTGGCTTTTGGCATGTTGGCATACTTCTCTGAGCCTGGATGTGTTGAACTGAAAAAATGGACCCTTGGGCTGAGAAGTCAGTTTAGTGACAGAAGCTTCCAGGACACAAACTATGAAACATTTTGCAGGGATATTCACTTGGCATCAATCTACCAAAACCCTTTTGAATTCCTTAGCACCCCCCCCCATGGTGGCCCCCACTAGGGTCCTGTTTCAGGTGTGTTCTCTGGTTGAACAAACTTAGAGGTGCTCATTAACTGAATCCTGCAATGCAGACTTCTTGAATCCAAGTTCATGCGGGGAGGGGGGGAGAGGGAGGGAGGGGGGGAGAGGAGAGAGAGAGAGGAGAGAGAGAGAGAGAGAGAGAGAGAGAGAGAGAGAGAGAGAGAGAGAGAGATTTGAGAGACTAGCTGACCGTTATAATCACCGACCTAGGCAGCCGTAATAAGGGCCGTTTAAGAAAATGCAAAAAGCCCCTTTCTAAGGCAAGAGAAGGGTCAGGGTGGAAGTCAAGTGCAGCTGTTTGAGCCTTTGCCAGTGAGTGGTCTGATCTCACCAGAAAAACTGGAGTTAAAAACAACAAACTTCCAGATTCAGCGATCTGGGATTAACCACCACCTCCTCTGCCACCACCCGCCTCCCCGTCCTCTCCCTTTCTCCCCAGCCTGGGCACCTGGGTCGCCTGGTGCGTTTCCATGTGGTTGGGAAGTCAGCCGGCAGCCCTGGCGACTGGAGCCCTGGGAGACGGCAGCCACCTCTCGGGTTTAGCATTACGTCATTCCTCCAGACCCAAATTTATCTCTGCTGCACACAGCCCCGCTGCTCCGAGCTGTCGCTGACTCGAGAGCTTACGCACCACCGAGTTAGACAAGGCTGACTCACTGGGCAGAGCCAAGGTTTTCTGTAGCTCTTCACGTTTCTGGAGCCCCGAGGAAGAGGAGGCTGCTGCTGCCTTCGTGTGTTTGTGTGTGGGGAAAGGGGTAACTGTTAATGCAGTCGATTTCCAGGACCTCGGAAATCATGCTCCCCTGTCCAGACCTTGGTTATTGCTGAAAACTGTGCCTACACAAGTAAGCATTTTACATATTTGGAACCGAACCCCAGTGTCCCCAGCAACAATGACGACGGACTTGTAACTGAACTCCATGGACTTTTCCTCCGTTCTCCATCTCACCTATCTGCAGAGACTATGCTAATCAGCCTCCATGTATGAGTTTGCATGTATCACTTGGGAATTGGCATCTACTAAACTGTACTGGGGGTGAGGAGGGGCAGGAAAGAGCCTAAAAGTGGAGAGCTTGGCCTGCTCCTTCAGAGGCAGATTGGCCCCCATCCATCCTTCTGTGTGGGTGATCTGGGAGACTTTGGCTGTCTGCAAATGGAGAGGGAGGGCAAGAGAAAGAGACAGAGAGAGGGGAGGAAAGACAAAGACGGACAGACTGGCTTTCTTTAGTAAAAGAGTGAACATCTCAGTTCTTGTGTCTGTAGACATGGAACCCTCCCTTTCCTGTTTCCCCAACTGTATTTGTAGTGCAAATTGGCTTCCTCTGAGGGAAGGCAGAGCCATGGCTGTCCAGGGCTCCCCTGGCTAACACGGAGCTGAGGGTGAGGAGGAATGGGGGCTTGGATAGCAGCCTCTCTAATTGCAAATGGCAAAGGCTAGAGGTTTCTGTACACGAGTCAGCCCACTGTGGCCATTGCCTGTGTTCCTCCACATGTGCGGGTGGCCTTTGGTGACTCTTGTGTGGCTTTCCATCTCTTCATCAGCCTCTTGGCCAGCACTCTAGGCTAGTTCATGTGGGGTCAACGGTGACAGCCATCCAGCCTATTTTCACTAACCTTCCCTTGGCTTTATAATTTAATACACGGAATCCAAGCCTTTCTCCGCTTATGGATATTTTCAGGGTTCACCGCATTCTTGACTGCATGCTTCCCGGGCTCACCTGTCACTGGGTACAGTAGACCACTACTTAATTTGGAGTTGAAACTTTAAGGGTAAAACTTTAAGTTGAAAACTACAAGTGGTAAAAGTGAACTTTTAAACTCATAATCTTTCTTTTCTCTACCTCCACCCCAGAGAGGCTCTCACGGTATAACCCTGGTTGACCTGGAACTCACGAACTCACTGTGTAGATCAGGCTAGTCTTAACCCATCTGCCTCTGCCGCCCTAGAGGCTGGAGCTACAGGCTTCAGGCTTGCACCACTTCACCTGCTCATTAGCCTTATGTTTTTTTTTTTTTTTTTTTTTTTTTCAACTGACAGGTGTTCTGAGTGAACGACATCTGTTTGTTTTTGAGGCAGGTTCTCTCTGTGTAATCCTGGCTGCCTGGAACTTACTCTGGAGACTAGGCTGGCCTCCGACTCATAGAAATCTGCCTGCCTCTGCCTCCTGAGTGCTGGGATTAAAAAGTGTGTGCTGCCCCATCTGGCAGAGTGAATTTCTTCCTAGTGTATCCAGGAATGTCCTTGGCTGGGGATGAAGGACGGTTGTTACCAGTATGCAATGGGAAAATCTGTATGACTTATCCGACAGCTGAAAAAGCACAGGCCCTTCTTTAAAGTCTAGAAAAGTCCCTCTGCCCCACTGTGGCTTCTGAACGCTTTTGGGCCTCCCTGAATTTGATGAACATCTATTTCTTAAATGTTGTGCCAAGCGTAATATTTAAAAGGGCCTGTGGCCTCACTGGAAATACTGCTCATGAAGAAGAAAGCTCAGCTGGCATGGTTCTGTGTCTCGGGGGACTGTAGCAATATCGGGAGGCATTTTTGGTTGTCATGCCCGAGGAGTGCTGGTGTGCTGGCCTCTAGTGGGTAAGGGCTAGGGACGCTGCTGGGTATCCAGCAAAGCACAGAGCAGACCTGGGCTCCCAGGAAAAACCATCAGGTCCAAAGTGTCAGTGATGCCAAGGAGAGTTCCCCAGAGAGTTCTCAGCTGGCATGGTTCTGTGTCTCGGGGGACTGTAGCAATATCGGGAGGCATTTTTGGTTGTCATGCCCGAGGAGTGCTGGTGTGCTGGCCTCTAGTGGGTAAGGGCTAGGGACGCTGCTGGGTATCCAGCAAAGCACAGAGCACACCTGGGCTCCCAGGAGGAACCATCAGGTCCAAAGTGTCAGTGATGCCAAGGAGAAACGTCCCTTAGACGAGGGACTTGGAAAAGAGCCTGGTGGCTAAGAGCAGCGAGTGGCTGCTTTTCAGGGTGATTCCCTGCTTTTTATTCTTTTTCTTTTTGGGTTTTTAGAGACAGGGTTTCTCTGTGCATCCCTGGCTGTTCTGAAGCTAGCTCTGTAGAGCAGGCTGGCCTCCTGAGTGCTGGGATTAAAGTTGCGCACCACCACCGCCCACCCGGCTCTCCTGCTTTTTAAAGTCCCTGTTGTCAGTTACCTTTCAAGAGAGGAGAGCATGGGAGGAGCAATCCTCATCACAGCTTCCATCCACTGAGCGCCTAGAATGCACCGCATGATGGAACTGTTCCATGTAGACTTACTTCCACCACGAAGCTCACTAAGTGTGCATGTTTCCTGGGAACAAACTCCATGTCTGTTTCTCTCAGGACCGTGTACATAAACTCTGGTTCAGTGCCTGGCACGCTTTTTGGCCTCAATGCCGTGCATAAATGGACGAATTAAACCCATTTTATATAGGAGGAAAAGGAAGCTTGGAGCGTCCACACAGCCAGAGCTCCGATCAGAGCTGAGATCGGTATGATTCCAACACCACATCTTTATGTCCTTTCTTTGCAGCATCAGAGCAGGTTTTTCTGTCTAAAAACACTAATGAGACGCTGAGGAGGAATGGAATCCAAAAAGAAAAGAGGTTAGAGAACCTTTTTGTCCGTGTCGCAGCTGAGCGCATGGACGTTCCCTCTAGCTCTCATGAAATGACCTCATGTTTTTGCTTCTCATGTGCATCTGTGACGCAGGCCTTTCAGACACGCCACTTTCCTCTCCGTGGGTGAGGAGACCGGGGCACTGGAGTTGCACGGGAAAGCAGTAGATAGAGGACAGATTTAGTTCAATAATGAAAGCTCTAGGCCCCGAGCACCAGCTAAGAAATGAGCCTCCTTGGGAGCGGACCCAAAGCTCAACCAACTCTTTTCCTCAGAAGCAAAGTCACGTTAAGTTCTTAGTCTTTTCCATCCTGGAACGAGAAAATGAAAGCCTGAGAGGAACTACATCTCCCAGAGGCCATCGCGGAGCCCTCCATGCGCAGGCGCACTGAGGCGACCC